AATCTTAAGCAGCCTGCCCACTGAGCGGAGCCGCACATGGGCTCGATCCCATGACCCGGCTTATTTCTCTGCAGTTGGGCTGCCTTCTGGAGCAATTCTTTCCCTTCCTAAGGCCTTGTTGGATCCCCGCCGTCCCGAGATCCCAACAGAACAAAGCAGGTGAGACACTTGCAGGTGGTACTGAAGGCTCTGACCCTAAGGAATGTGACCTGTTGATGAAGTTTGGTCCTCAGCCTGCTGTGTGCTGTCTTGCTGTGCTGGGGGCCGGGGCCAGGGCTGGGAACAAGTCTAATGAAAACCTCTCCCTTCGTGGAGCTTAACATGCTGTTGGGGGAATGAGATGGATGCCACATAAGATAAGCAAGAGAAATGATACCACGTTAGGTATTTGTAAATGCTATGGAGAAAAAATTAAGAAGGGCCCAGGGCTCTGGAGGGGGTGTAACTTGAGAGGGTGGCCTGGGAACGCCCCTCTGGGAAGGTGACTGTGGAGTGAAGACTTGGAGGTGGTCAGAAGCCAGCCTGTGGCTGTCTGGGGGAGGACTTCCCAGGCAGGGGAGAGCCGTGCCCATGCCCTGAGACCGTGGCTGGCGAGCCAGAGGCAGGGAGGAGGGCACACTGGCTGCAGCAGCTGGTGGGAGTGGGGGGACGTGAGGAAATGAGGGCGCTAATGGGGCTGGGTCATGTGGGGAAGCCAGTAGCTTGTCACAGTTAGCATTCAGTTTTGTATTGCCAGCCATCATTTGCATATTTTCTCACCTCCGTCCCGAATTCTGTTCACTTAGGGGTCTGGGGAACTGAGTAGTGTGGGGAGAGAGCAGATCTGTGTTTGCACAGGAGGAAAGGGGGAGTGTGGTTTGGAGAGCAGGGCGGCTGAAACTGGGGAGCGCGTGGGGTGAGCCCAGGGTTTTCCAAGGAGCGTGGACCGAGGTACTCTGAGCCAAGAGCAGGAATTGGCCTAGTGGTTCCACGTGCGGGTTTTAGAATGGCCCTGACTTCCTCCTCTAGTGTGAAATACTGGCTATCATTAGGTTTAGAACAGGGTAGGAATCCAGATCTACCCTCTACACAGGTTTCTTTCTTGTAGCCCTTGCTAACATTCAGCTGCTAAATTTTTAACTACCTGATACAAGTAGACCTTGAAGGAAGATTTGAGGCTAGATATATGGCCTGGAAAGCTCCCGGGACTCAGAAAGGGCAGCCAAGAGATCCCCTTGCCGCAGTTTGGAATGCCGGTCCTGGCTGGTGTTTTGCAGGGAGGAGAACCTGATCCCGTATTCCCCAGATGTGCAGATACATGCAGAGCGATTCATTAACTACAACCAGACGGTTTCTCGAATGCGAGGTATCTACACAGCTCCCTCAGGCCTGGAGTCCACTTGTTTGGTGAGTAGAGCCCCCAGCCAGCATGTGCAGCAGCTGCTCTTGGGTTCGCGCTCGGGAAGCAGCTGAGGATTCTGTTTCCTTTCTGACCAGAGTGTGAGGTCGCGGTGGACCACTGGCTACCTCTCTTACGCACTTCTCGTTGCCTCTGCCTTCCAGGTTGTGGCCTATGGTTTGGACATTTACCAAACTCGAGTCTACCCATCCAAGCAGTTTGACGTCCTGAAGGATGACTATGACTACGTGCTGATCAGCAGTGTCCTCTTTGGCCTGGTGTTTGCCACCATGATCACCAAGAGACTGGCGCAGGTGAAGCTCCTGAATCGGGCCTGGCGGTAAGGACGCAGGACCCCACTGCCGGAGAGCAGAGAGCTCGGGGCAACGAGGGTCAGACGGGGAGCTCCAGCTGCGGTGTGACGGGTCAGGTGCTCAGCTGAGTCGGAAGAAGCTGGACTCTCGTGGAGACTCTTCTCGGGACAGGTCTGCCGCAGCGTCGGTTGCGGAGGGAGGCTGGACTCTCCGCCGGGAATCTCAAAGCATGTCGATGGACTTGCCCTCAGAGTCTGAAGGCCATCGCCCTGTTTGCTTCCTTTGCCCATCCATGAATGTTGTTGTTGCTTTACTAAGTCCCCCGGCAGATTTTTCTCTTTTGTGAGGCCTGCTTCAGTTGATTTTGGTTCGCCTTTTGTGTTTCCCAGCTTATCTAGAAATCTTTCTGACTGTTTCCCTGCCTCATGCTTCAAAGTCAGGAGGGAACTCTTATTGATAACTCCACCTCATAGGTGCTTTTGCTCTTTCACGTCTGGGAGAAAGAAGGTAACATGCTTAGTTGAGGCTTAAAGACGGATCCAGCCTCTCATGGCATGAAAATTTACTTTAAGCCTCTAGTTTGGAGGTTCTCATTCATCAGGTGGGGCCACCCAGTTCTTGCTGCAGTTTATCACAAGTCAGGCGCATCATAGTTTTCTGGTTTGTCAGTCATTGCCCACGCTTTGCACCTAAGGTGTGTCCGAGCCGAGGCCGCCTTAATACTACTGAATTGCCTGAACCTGCAAGAGATTTTAAGGGAGGAGAGACTCTACCCGTTTCACGGTACCTCCTAACCTCTCAGTTCACCCTCAGGCTGGTCTAGTCCTCTTCTGGCCTAGTTAGAGCCAGCCGTCTTGTTTAAGAACTCATTATTTATTTTTTACTTTTAGATGTAAATTTATGAGTGCATCACCACATTTCTACTAAAGTGAGATTTTAAATGTTAACGCTGTAACCTTCGCAACTTTAAAAGAGGGGAGGGCTGGATGGGGGTAGGAAACTGACGTGTTGTGGATGAAGCATTGCCGAGTGGCTGGGCCGTTGTCTCTGTGACAAATGGAAAAAGTCCTAAAAGTTTCCTTTGTGCCCAGATCTGGGGAATGATGGCGTTTTTCTTTCCTGTGAAGGATGAAATGTGCAGAGGAGACCATCTCTAGCATTGTGGGGAGAGCATTTCGATCAGGTGTCTGAATAAAGCAGATGATGAATGGCAGTCCTTTTTTGTGGTGTGGGACTTGGAGGTGACTTCTGCATTAGAGGGGGCCGAAAGCTGTGCAGACACACGGTTTATTTTAGTAGGGAAACATGCCAATTTAATCATACAAGAGTTATTATTATTATTTTTAAGATTTTATTTAAGGCGGGGAGGGGCAGAGGGAGAGGGACAAGCAGAAACCCTGTTGAGCAGGGAGCCTGACACGGGGTTCGATCCCAGGACCCTGAGATCATGATGTGAGCCGAAGTCAGACGCTTAACCGACTGAGCCACCCAGGCGCCCCAAGAGTTGAGTTATTTAAAAACAAAACTTTGAAATCTTTTATGCTGCTGGTAGATGATGCTAGTGGAAGGAAGAAAAATGAGAGTCATTTTATTTGAGTAATAAAATTGTGAAGTTGATCTTAATGAGTCAGTGAGCATCTAAGTAAGTATCTCCAGAAAAAACAGGCATCAATCCTGACTCAAAGCATGGTTTGTTTAAAGTGTTGTGGGAGAAGGGAACATGTACAAGTTAAAAAAGATTCTGCCCTAGTTTTGAGGAAGGCCGGCTGGAGTCTCGACTGTCCTATAGAAGTACATGCAAGCTGCACAACCCCCCAATCTGCTAGATGCTAGTTTTTATTTACCTACGTATGTGCCAGAATCCGAAAGAACAAGCTAAGTGGAGGGAAGTTACCTGCCTTTTTGTAAAAGACCCTGTATTTTGGCTTTAATCATTACCATTTTACTGAAAGTTCTCTCAAAGCAGGTGCATGAAAGAGCCAATGCTAATGGCAGCCATGGTCCTGTGTCCTCCTTGTCATTCCTCTACCTCTCCTCGTCTTAAAGCCACACTTGGTTGACTAGCTTCGCTCAGCCTCTACCTGCGGCTTTTGACCCCGTTGCCTGCCAGTGCTCTGATCTGTTTTCTTGTCTTCCTCTATTTCTGTGCATCTCCCTTGAACCATCTGTTTCCCCCACCTTCACTAATTAGGTTCACTTGGAGCCCCCTGCAATGTTTCACCTAAAAAATTAAGTTCTTCAGTATTTTTTATTGGTTGGTCAGTGTTCAAGATTGTTCGGTGTAAAAATTTTCAGCTAAATAGTGTTTAGTGATTCTCAGTCCCTGTTGGGAGTAATGGAAAATGGTTTGTGGCTTTTGTTATAATTTTCCCCTAGCCTTTGACTCTGCAATGAGTTATTGGGGAATGTGTATGTATTAAATACAGAATTAGTTAGAACATTTGTGGTCAGTAAGAACTTTTAAAAAAAATTCTGATAGATGAGGAGTACCTGGCTGGCTCAGTTGGAAGAGCATGCGACTCTTGATCTCGGGGTTGTGAGTTCAAGCCCCACGGTGGGTGTAGAGGTTACTTAAATAAAACTTAAAAAAAAAAATTAAAAAAAATTTTTTTTGATAGATGACGTTACTCTTTTGGAAGGGGGTTAAATAGTAATGTGTTATGCCCCACCCTCCTTCCTCTTAAAATTGTAAATTTAGTGATTTAATACCACTTTGGGAAGAGATTACCACCTGTTCCTCTCCCCTCCTCCCCCGCAACAAAGAAAGGTGAGTAACTTAACATTGCAGGTAACATGGTTTTACTGTCATAAACTGTGGGTGGCTCTAAGAGACAGCTGACCCTGCCAATTTAATAGCAGAACAAGTTAGAGGTAAACTTTCCTGAAACCCACGTAATGTTTGTTACCAGTCCTCTACAATTTATTTTGCTTACAGTCCACAATTCTGAATTGTGAGTTCACTCCTTTGCCCTTTTTCTGGGGAGTACAAGGCCTAATTCTAGGAGCACGGGAGCACCGTAAAACTGACAGGCATTCCTGTGACCATCTGTTTAGCCATAAATCCTGGTCTGACTCTCTCGTTTTCATTCGAGGATGTTCCTTCTCTCACCAGCTTCAATGATTGTTCAACTAGGTAGCCCCTTGCTTATCTGGCCCCACAGAATAGCTGTGCTATTATTCAGCATCTCACCCGGTCCCAAAAAGCACTGGGCACAGCTGACACAAGGCAAATGATAGACAGTGAGATACAAAGAAAACTAACTGGGTGAAAAGACGGTAACGAGGAGAATAACCAACAACTCAGGAGATGGGTTGAGGCAGATTTGTGGTGGACACCCCCATAATATATATAATCATCTTCAACCTACTTTGAACTCGATCCCTAGATTAAGCCAGGCCAGCAGAGAACTAGCTGTGGATCTAGGCTGAATTTGGGGGTCATATTTTGTCATAGCCCATCCTCAGAAATGGATTTTACAACTTGTATTGAGTCTAAGAAATGTTGCTAAGGGCACTGTTGATCATATTACCTACAGGGCCAATGAGAAATTCCTTTCTGGTCGCAGCATCAGGAATAGTTGTCAGGATCCTAAGTCACTTAAAAAAGTCTCTCTTTCTTGATTTTAAATAGAACATGCTTATTATAGAAAGAGTTAAAATACAAAAATTACTGCGGCCTAGTACCGACATTACTCATATGGGCACTGATAGCCTGAGTTTAGTGTTCTTGTAGACAGACTCTTTAATGGAATCATGCTATTTGTTTTTTTTTTTCAACCTAATGCATTTTGAACATCATGTATTAAAAAAGATGCCTTAAATCCTTTCTGGAACAAAGTATGACAGAAAGAAATACTCAGTTCCTGAAGTATGTGTTTGAGACATTTATTTATTTATTTATTGAAAGATTTTATTTGTCAGAGAGAGAGAGCAAGCACACAAGCAGGGGGAGTGGCAGGCAGAGGGAGAAGCAGGCTGAGCAAGGAGCCCGATGCAGGACTGGGATCATGACCTGAGCCAAAGGTAGGCCCTTGAACCGACTGAGCCACCCAGGCGTCCCATGTTTGAGCCTTTAACGCAAGTCACTTCAACTCTCTGAATGCGTTTCATTGCTTGTGTAGGGGGACGGGTTCACAGTCTGGACGGTGTCCATAACTCAAAAATTTCAGATTTTTTAGTTTCACTGCCCTTGTAAATTGCTATTCTTTGTCAGAGCCTAGCACATACGCTACAATGATCAGAATCATCCCAAGACTGACTGACTGATTTCTGCTCATTTAACATTTTAAGTCCTGAATCTCTTCTTTGTCTATAGGTTATATTTGGAATGCTTTCTTCTCTTCTCCAGATCTGGTGTGTCTCACGTCTAAACTCCAGAAAGCCTCCTCTGTGGATCCCGGCTGCCCAGGATGCCTGAGTTGCCTGGCTGCTAACCACACAGTTGCCCCCACGGAGGCACCCTCGCATTTTATTGTTTCAGTCGTTCTGTGTCTCCCAGAGGTTGTTAAACTGTCTTCTCAACTCCCCACAATCTTAAGCATGAAGCTGCTCCCCGACAAAGAGTTCCCCAAGTGGGTACAACACCTCCTTCATAGAGGACGCCTTAGGATATTTGTCCCCAGTTGTTAAAATTTCTACAGTGCCTTTGGTGACTTAGGAATTGTATTTACTGAAATGCCAAGAGGTAGACCTACTCATCTTTTTCTGGAGGGCCCTGGAACAAGCTCCAACAAACCCTATCTAATACCTAAAACAAATGCTCACAAGATCAATATGGGAAATGAGCTTTACAATACCATAATTTCTGTTTTAAAGGGAAAAGTATTGGGGCGCCTGGGTGGCTTGGTTGGTTAAGCGTCTGACTCTTGGTTTCAGCTCAGGTCATGATCTCGGGGTCCTGGGATTGAGCCCTGCATTGGGCTCTGTGCTTAGCACAGAGTCTGCTTGTCCCTCTCCCTCTGCCCCTCCCCCTGCTCACTCTCTCAAATAAATTTTTAAAAAAAATTTAAAAAGGGAAAAGTATCTTTTTGTTATTATATTGGTATGTACTTATAGAAACAAAATAAAGTGATTACATAGGCTCAAAGTCCAAATAGACTTTGGAAAACTTTTATTTATTTATTTATTTATTTATTTATTTATTTGACAGATACAGCGAGAAAGGGAACACGAGCAGGGGGAGTGGGAGAGGGAGAAGCAGGCCCCCTGCTGAGCAGGGAGCCTGATGCGGTGCTCGATCCCAGGACCCTGGGATCATGACCTGAGCCGAAGGCAGACGCTTAATGACTGAGCCACCCAGGCGCCCTGGAAAACACTATTCTTTGTAACAACTACCTTAATATTCAAAATACTGAGTTATTCCATAACTCAACTCGAAAAGTTGACAACATCCTGTGCACTTTTATTGTGCATAAAATGTAAACTGAGAGATACCATCTACCTTTCAATAACGAAAGAGATGCTGGTACTTTGTATGAACTGCTTCAAATTGATGTAGTTTTGGAATATAGGTGAGGTTGATGGGGTAAGGTCCGGAGCCAACCACCAAGAAAGAATTCTTGAGATGTCTTTGGTGCAAAAAGGTGATTTTATTAAAGCACAAGAACAGGACCTGTGGGTAGAGAGAGCTGCACTGGGGTTGTAAGGAGCGACTGATTATATACTACGGGGTTGGGGGAGGTAAGGAAAAAGGGAGGTGTCTAGAGGACTTTCATATCCTAAAGAAGACCCTCAGGATCCTGGAGATCTTGCTATTATCAAGCTAAGTTTGTTTTTCCCTCTAGCAAAGCATTAAGACAGTTGGAAGTTTCCTGGATGAATGTCACACAAATCCCACCCAGGAGTGGGAGGTGGGTCGGTGGGGGGTGGTCGGGGAGGTTGCAGGGTGTCAGCTTGTGCTTTGCCCTCAGCTAGCCTTCTGCTCCCTCATCAAAATTTGGTCTCCAAGTGCTTTACTTAAAAAGACTAAGAAAAAAAAATTAGTGCCCCAAACAGTAAGATGAATCTTTCCTCAAAACCTTCCCCCATTCTCTATTTTTCAGAGGTCACCACTGAATTATTTGGCATGTGTCTCTCCAGATCCCATAATATTCTGCAACTTGATTTTATCACTTAATGTATCATGGAGAGCTTTCCATATTAGCAATATGGATCTCCCAAGCACTTTTTTTATGGTCACAAGGTTGAAATTCTTAAGTGTTACTCTATTAGCGATTTTTATGAGATCAATCGAATGCTCTTTCAGGCAAGTCTATTTTGTATTCTTTAGACCATCATTCCAGTAAGGATTTATAACGTAAAGGATGTGTGCATACCCTCTTCCACTTAAGGCACTAGAGTGTGACCTTGAGACTGACCTCCAACCAAGAAGCCATTTTTCCACTAGCACTGAGGCTTATGTAAATTTCTGATCCATGATACTGAGAAGGTGCCTTTCCCAGTATACAGACTGATGACATTTAGGAGGGTATCTTTATAAAATAGCCACAGATTTATATGGAAGCACACTCCGTTTACTATTACCTCACACACAATCGGAATGAGTGAAAGTCAATAAAGCAAACTAAAAATTAGCATTTCAAAGGCACGTTTACTCATATAAGTGCCTTTATTCTCTACAGTTTTGGTGATGTATATTCCATGTGCTGTCGCACAACAAGCTAGATTAGAAGACTGATAAACCAGAATGCCAGTTTATAGATGACAATGAAGATGATAGCTGTGAAAAGGAGAATACTTATGTCTGCTAGTTGGAATGCATATCCTATAAAAAAGCTTATATAATAAGTTAAAATGCTATTATAAGCTTGTTTGGTTATTCTGGAGTTAGAATAGAGGATGTGATATTATACACATGGTTTTAATGATAGGCATGCTTCTGCTATGAGACCAGAATGTTCATGTCTGCTGACCAGGACAGCTCCCATCCCCTGTCCCCTAACAGTGCTAAAAGATACAGTACAATCATTTGACTCCACTTTTTCTAGACTTTTAAGTATACTTCTTTACTTCTGCTAAGTGCCTGCCACATATGTCATTATATTCAAATCATGTTTTCCTAATCACAAAGTATTTACAAACTGGTTTTTTAAACTTTTTATTTTGATGCAATTTCAGACTTAGAGAAATGTTAAAAGAGTAGTACAAATAATTCTCAGATACCCTTCACTCAGATTCCCCAGATATTAACATTTTTCCACATTTGATTTATCCGTCTCCCTCCTATCTCTAAATCTGGTGGTCTAAAATTTTGCTGAGTGTAAATCCTAAACGATGGCAATGGTAGGTCTGAGGACTACAAAAGTCATTTTACAAAACAAAACTCTTCTTCTTTTTTTAAAGATTTTATTTATTGGGGCACCTGAGGACTGGGACTCGATCCCAGTGGGGAGTCTGCTTCTCCCTCTGCTCTTGCTCTCTCAAATAAACAAGTAAGATCTTAAAAAAAAAAGAGAGAGAGTGAGCAAGGGGAGGAGCAGAGGGAGAGAAGACAAGCAGACTCTGTGCTGAGTGCGGAGCTCAACGTGGGGCTCAATCCCAGGACCCTGAGATCATGACCTGAGCTGAAATCAAGTCGGTAGCTTAACCAACTGAGCCACCCAGGTGCCCCTAAAACAAAACTCTTCTGATATATTTGCGATCTTATGTAAATTATTTAGGTTAAGCTGAATTAGTGTATCTAAGCTTCATTTTGTAGAAGTTTGGCAGTCAAGCTTTTATTAATTAATTCACATTGGCTGTTACTGAACAGTATTGCAAATTTGGATGTTCACCTTATAATTTTAATCATTTCAATTGTGCTCTTTTCTTCCTCAGTTTCCTGTAAGTCTTGCTTCCTGCTATTCTGTAAAACTGACCTTCTATTCTAGTCCCTGCACAATTGCCAAAATTGCAAGAAGGCTGCAAGGCACATTTTCTTCTTTGTTTTAAATTCATACCATATAAAATGCAGTATTATGAGAAAAATAATCAATACTTGTGGATTACAAATGACTATCATATTACTAAATTAAATTAGGCTTCTAATCTATTTCCTTATATTATTTTTTTAAAAAGATTTTATTTGTCAGAGAGAGCGCATGCGCACAAGCAGGGGGAGCAGCAAGCAGAGGGAGAAGCAGGTTCCAGGCTGAGCAAGAAGCCTGACATGGGACTCGATCCCAGGACCCTGGGATCATGACCTGAGCCGAAGGCAGACACCCAACTGATTGAGCCATCGAGGTGTCCCTATTTCCTTATATTACTGATGTAAAAAAAAAAAAAAAAAAATCTCCCTTCATTGTGAGTTACCAAAAAGGAGCTGCTTTCCATTAGGAGTTTCCATAAAATATGCACTATTGGTTCTTATAAATTTGTAAAAGCTCGAGAACAGATTGATTTCTGTTGGCCCCTGGGAGTTAATACCTGTGGTTTATTCAAGTAATGAATAACACACAATACCTACTAGGATTTATTTCATGCAACTCTTATCAGATGGAATTTTTTTGAAATAAAAACTGCCAATATTTCTGGCTTTGAGGTTTGTGGAGTGACAATGACCTCTTGTTTTCACTTTATTTTTTTAAAGAGATTTTTAAAATTTTATTTATTTATTTAAGGGGGGGAGGGGTGGAGGGAGAGTGACAGAATCTTAAGCAGGCTCTACACTGAGCACAGAGCCTGATGGGGGGGCTTGATTTCATGACCCTGAGATCATGACCTGAGCCAAAATCAAGAGTGGGACGCTTAAGTGATTAAGCTACCCAGGTCCCCTTTGTTTTTAGATTGAGGTATAATTTTTAACTAACGTGAATACATCGTAAGTATATAGTTGAATGAATATTGTGTGTATATTCATGTAACCCTGACTCCTGTCACGATATAGAACGTTTTCACTCCCTGCCGGTTTCTCCACACTTCCTCCTAGTCTGAATCCCCACTTGAATACCATTCAGTCATGGCTGCTTAATTTTTTTCTTTCACTGCATTTCTTGTAATATGATCATATCATGTCTCTCTTTTGTAAGTTTTAAAATTTTAGTTCCTTCCCCAGCCACTTGGGCTATTAGAAGGAAACGAATACTTTAAATCTTCAGTTAATAATTCATAAAAATTACTCTTTAGTTTCTATCTTATTTTCTGGACTAGAGTATTAGAAGCTTGTGTTTCCTCTAGAAGTCTTTTTTAGTCCCCATTTATTGTGTTCCTTTCTTATCTAAATTTAGAATGTAGAGGGGCACCTGGATGGCTCAGTTGGTAGAGCATGTGACTCTTGATTCCATGGTCCTGAGCTCAAGCCCCACGTTGGGAGCACAGCTTATTTAAAAAAATTTTTTTTAGAATGCAGATGCCATTCCAAATCTTTGTAGCAACATAAGAACAAATCTCCAATACTGGAATTGATGTGGTATTTATAAAGAAGGATCTTTTTTTAAAAAAAAATATTTATTTGAGAGAGAGAGAACAATAAGGGGGAGCAGCAGGCAGAGGGAGAGGGAGAAGCAGGCTCCCCACTGAGCAGGAAGCGGGACACGGGGCTAGATCCCAGGATCCTGAGCCGAAGACAGATGCTTAACAGACTGAACCACCTAGGCACCCCTGTAAAGAAAGATCTTAACCTGGATTGCTTTCTCCAAATCTATGAGCCAGAAATATTAAAAAGTTATGTTAGTTTACATACAGGAGCAAATTTCCCTGTGATATTCTGCATTTGACTTTTTTACTCTCTCTCTTCCAGCCACAGGTGGAGGGGGAAGGAGGGGGGCAGGAACATTTGATCTTCTATTATTTCCTGAAACCTTTCCAAGAGAACCTCTGCAGATTAATTTTGTCCTTGGGTAAAATAAAACGAATGTCCCAAGAGCCACTCTAAAATTTTAAGCCTTCTCCTTTAGGCCTGGTTCAGTATCTTAAACTAGTGCAATAATTACTGTGTTATGGAAAGGCTTCTTTCTCCGTCTTTAACTTTTTGTATTTTTATGTTTAAGAAACTTGCTGTTGTCATTATTATCCCCTGAGAAAATAAAGGAAAATCTCCACAGTTATTATTAAAGACACGTTTTCCTCCAAGAGTAGCAATACCTTGACTTTCCTCGAAGAGTCAATACCTTGACTGCATTTTATCCCTAATGTAAAATAGCTCTTTTCTTACTACAAGTGCAAATCGATCATCAGGTACCAATTTATTAATGAGTTACGCGGGTAACAAAAGGAGGTCCTCCAACACTTGGGGAAGAATTTCAGGGCTTCAGGGTTATCAAACCGTCCACAGTTCTTGCGAAGATGTCTTTATTTAGGCGGGCTGTGGGTCACAGGGCCTAGGGCTTGACGTCCTCCACTGACGCACCTACCACCCCCCAAGAATGTCTTCGAAGCACGCATACCTTTCCTTGAGTCAACTGTCAAGTCAAACTGCTTTTCCCTCTTAGATCTGGAACCCAGATCGATATATCGGCAAAAAGCCCGTTATTAAAGCTAACATTCTTTCTTTGCTGGTAGAAAAACGGGGAAAACACAACCTGCCGGGACAAATTGCAGAGAGCAATGTAAAATGCGAGCTGGTAGTGAAGGTAATGAAAACACAAGAGGGATTTGGGCCAGAATTAAGTAAGACTAGTGACTGTCATAGCGAGAGGTGGCGTGGGGAGTAGAAAGTTTTGTAGACTATGTACGCTGTGGTATCACTATTGTGGGGGGCACTCGGGAGAGGAGGAAGCGGGTGAGTGATCGGAATCTCGTCCTTAGCTGTCTCGGGCCGGGACCATTACATGCGCAGATGCATAGCCTGTTCCGCTGTCCTGGTCTTGCCAACTTCAACCAAATCCCAACTCACCTTTCCCCGATGCCCCGAGGCCCCATCGCTCCCACCTTCAGGAACGACTCCCAGCGCGCAGGCGCTCCCCCGCCCTCCTCCGAAGGCGTAAATCCTGCGCAGGCGCAGCTCCTCGGGCCGGTCTCCGCGCCGCACCCCGCCGCGCTTCTCCTGAGAGCTGAGGGAGGCCGCCTTGCGCTTCGCGTGTTTTGCCCGGCGACTGCGTCGCGCAGTCTGACGCGCAGATTGCGTCACTTCCGCCCCCTCCCGGGAGGCGGTGCTGGACCGGTGGCAAGCCCCCGAAGGGAGCCGCAGTAGTACGACGGAAGATGGCGACGAGCGGCGGCGAAGAGGCGGCGGCGCCGGCATCGGCGCCAGGGGCCCCGGCGACGGGGGCGGACACAACCCCGGGCTGGGAGGTGGCGGTGCGGCCCCTGCTGTCCGCGTCCTATTCCGCCTTCGAGATGAAGGAGTTGCCGCAGCTGGTGGCCTCAGTCATCGAGAGGTACCGGGCGGCGGCCCCGGCGAGGCGGGCGTAGGGAGGGGGAGGGGAGGTCGTGCCGGATCGTCTGGACCCGCTTCCCAGGCCGCTTTCTGCTGCTTGGCGACCCCCGCCCCAGTCGCGGCTTCGGGGCTCCCCGATCTAGGCAGACGAGGGCTTGTCCGGGGCTCCTTCCGCCGGTCCATGTAAATTATCTGTGCCTCGATTTCCCTTCCGAGGAAAACTTTTGAGGACGCCCTCTTGAGAGGGCGTGGCCGGAGCCGGTTGGGAGTGACTTTGGGACGCTTCGCGCTCTTAGGGGAATGTCCCCGGGGCTGCCCCCTGTGTTAAGGTCAAAGCACTGATGAGTTTGCATTTCTTGCCCGCGCTCATCCCCCTAGCCTGGGCCAGAGCGGAGCCTGGGGTTTAAATTGGAGATGTGCCACATAATTTAATAACGGTCTTTCAGTGGTGCTGTAATCACTGGGGGCACGTGCTGTTTCTGTGACTGAAGCCACTAGTGACCACTGAGGACTCTCTTTTCAGGTTGCACTTAATGTATATTGATACTGTAACGGTCTTTGGTGAAACCATTTCAGTGTTAGTCTTGAGGTCATTTTCCCACAGAAGCAGTGCCCTCGCTTGAGCGCGCGCGCTCTCTCACGATAAAATATCTTCAGACTCTCTTACAAACGGGGTCATTTATTGATTTGGTATTAAATCGCTTTGTCATTTTGTCCAGAGTTCTTAGATCGTGATAGTTGTGTTCATACAATGCCATGATATCGACTGCCTGTCTTTTCCTGACTTAACCTTGCTCAGAGGAGCCTTTCATTGGTTTAATGGTCGACGTGCTTTTAAAGGCAGTCTCACTTTTATTTTACTAGTCAAACCTTACTTCAACAATCTGCAATTGCTGACTGGGTCATTTTAGCTTCTTGAGAACAAAGGTAACAAGGGTATATCGTAATGTTATCCAGAAGGTTAGAAATTGCTATTTATTACTCAAGGGAGGCCCATGACTTGACAAATTGTTTATTGTAGTGCCTCTCGTTAGTGCCTCTTGTTAGGTTTGTGATGCTTTGGATGCTTTTTTTTTTTTTTTAAGTTACAATAAAATATCGGCTGTGTTTGGTAATTTCACAGTTAACTTTACAGATGGGTTTTCCTATATAATTATTAAGCCAGGAATGTTTTAAAGACGTAAACAAGTATCAAGATACTGCTCTCAAGTTATGTGGCCTCTTTTTTTACTTTTTTTTTTATTAAAGATTTTTATTTATTTATTTGACAGAGAGAGACACGGCGAGAGAGGGAACACAAGCAGGGGGAGTGGGAGAGGGAGAAACAGGCTTCCCGCTGAGCAGGGAGCCCGATGCGGGGCTTGATCCCAGGACCCTGGGATCAGGACCTGAGCCGAAGGCAGACGCTTAAAGACTGAGCCACCCAGGCGCCCCTCTTTTTTTAACTTTTTAAACGTTTGGTTCTGTGGTATTTTTCCTACATTATACTCATCACGTGACATGTGATGGACAGTGTTCCACTCTAGAATATTTGCTTTTATTTATTTATTAATTTATTTATTTCAAAGATTTTATTTTTAAGTAAGCTCTACACCTGTGGGGCTCCAATTCTCAAACCCAAGATCAAGAGTCGCATGCCCCACTGAGCCAGCCAGGCACCCCTGCTTTTATGTTTTTATGGACATGACACCCTCCCATTCATGCGGTATTCCAGATCCATCTTTTTAAAACTATAATGGCTTAGCAACTCTGTCCAGCTTGTAGAAGGAGCCAAAGCCAAATACATCAAACTAGGTTTGAATTTTGCCAAATAAATGACAGTGCCCTCTCTTGCACCCTGAGGTAATCAGGAGTTGCCTGTGTTTGTAGATACTAGTAAGAACTCTTCACGGTTTAGAAAAGATATCCAAACTAATGGGTGTTTAGTAACAAACACTTTTATTGTAAGGCAAGATCCCCGAAGTCTTGGTTCTGGTTTTGTTGCTCAATTCACTTTGAAAGCTGGTTATACGTCCTCTTTAGGCTCTATGAGAGGAATATGATCCTAGAAAAGTTTTCAGAATACCTGGCTTAGAAGTTCTTTACAGTAAAAAACAACCAAACATACTAGTAGTGTTCAGTTTGGTATAGAGCAGAGGTCGGCATGCTTTTTTTTTTTTTTTTTTTGTAAAGGGCCAGAGAGTAAATATTTGCAGGCTGTACATTCTCTGTGTGGATTAGTCAACTCGGTCATTGTATAGCAAAAGCAGCCTTACACAATACATAAATGAATGGGTGTGGATGTGTTCCAAAATCTTATTTATGGACACTAAAATGTGAATTTCAAATATTTACGTGTCACAACATAGTCTTAAAAATTATTTTTCAGCCATATAAAAATTGCAAAAACCATTCTTTTTTTTTTTTTAAGATTTTATTTATTTATTTGACAGAAAGACACAGCGAGAGAGGGAACACAAGCAGGGGGAGTGGGAGAGGGAGAAGCAGGCTCCCTGCTGAACAGGGAGCCCGATGCGGGGCTCAATCCCAGGACCCTGGGATCATGACCTGAGCCGAAGGCAGCCGCTTAACCAACTGAGCCACCCAGGCGCCCAAATAAATAAAATCTTATTTAAAAAAATTTTTTTTAGAATGCAGATGCCATTCCAAATCTTTGTAGCAACATAAGAACAAATCTCCAATACTGGAATTGATGTGGTAT